GGGGCATTTGCTTGCGCATTGTGGCTGCACTGCTAGTTAGCGAACATGGCGCAGCCTCCGCGGGGCAGTGTGGGAAAAGCATGGCTAACCAGGTGACACGTGTGGTACATCGTTGCGAAGACGCGCAGGAGTCAGAACATTTGGGTAAGTCCGAGACTTTCGATTCGATCCAGAGAGAATCGCGTTGGTCGCGATATCCGATGTAACGTTATTTGCCTAAAACTAAGCTCGAATCCCGAGAAATGAAGTGATCGAGGGAAGATGCGATGAGGGTGGTGCCGCGCATGCGCTGTTTTCGCGAAGGCGCGCGTTACAAACATCCGCTAGCGAGCGCCGAACGGTGTTATCGCGGAATGCGGGTCTCTCGAGGATCCGTATTTTGCAACTGCTCTCACCACGCACCACGATTCACAGCGCTCTCTTACACTTTCTGCTATAACCAATTACAAGAGGCACGCGATTTTTCCCACTCGCGTTTCCGGAAGTTGCTGACGCAACGGGTTTCACTTTCTGTAAACAATTAATTGTGTGGGAAGCGCCGAGCGTATCGCGGAACCCGGGCTCTCGTCTGCTTGCGCGCGCGAAGGAACTTGCCGTCGCTTCTTCGGCGCAACCAAGAGCGAGAGGGGCGGGAGAAATCGGCCCAGAGACCCCACGTGCAGACGCACACACACGCAGATTACGATGTGGGCATTCTGTGGCCTCACATTTATATTGCGTAATTGTTTAAAAACGGGTCAACCTTGTGTTTTCACTTTATTATTTGCTTTAGTTTCTTTTTCAAAGTGTATATTCTTGTTTGTTTTTATAGTCGATATAGTTTTTATATCGATTTAGAGCAATATTTTTATTAAATACCTGCCTACCGTATTGTCAAGTGACATCCGTATCATAATTGCTTCCATTACAAAGTAGTATTTTGATTTATTATTTTCTGTTTCTTCTCTTATTCCTGCTCCTCCTCCTCCTCCTCATAGTCCTTTTCTTCTTCCGCCTTACGCTCTTCTTGTCCTCTTGAGCCCCATCTCTTTGTCTTCCTGGACGAAGACGACTACCTCGTGAGGACTGTCCGAGATGAGGGATTGCGCGCAAAGGGCGGCGTGGCGTGGCGCGGCGTACTCTTCCTCGCGGCCCAGATCCCCCCGGAGAGGGAAGAGCAGGGGGCGGGGGCGGAAGAGCCGGGCGAGGCCCGAGCCAGCGCTATTTCGGGCGCGGGCGCAGGCGCAGGCGCGCGCAGCCCCTGCGCGGTGCGCCAGCGCTTTGTGCCGGGCGCCCATTGACGCGCGGCGGTGGCGCTGGCAGCCGCGAGGCGAGGAACCTTTCCGCGGCGCCATGTCCTCCGGGCCCTTGCCTCTGCAGCGCCCTTCCGCGGCACGTTCGAAGGTTCGAGTTCAGGCGGTGGTGGATTGTCAAGTCTGACTTCACAACTGGGTCGAATTCATCCGCAGCCTCGCGAATTGTAGAGGTCGGATGTTCTGATCGGTAGTTTTGCTTCGTTCGTCCGATCAATACCAGGCGAATGCAGCAAACGGGCCACGCACGGACTGCAATCATCCCTTACATCCTGCTTGCCTCTTTTCGCTTTTTACGCACAAACGCATACGACTTGCACATATGCCCTACATTACCACACGTCGCGGGAGCTTAGAGGTTGTTGCTGCTGGGGCGCTTTCACGCTGGGGGAGATTCCCGGAGGAGAGAAACCCACAAGCACACATGTAGGCCCATGCAAGACCTTACGTTCCTAGAGGGAGGAACACCGCCGTGTCCAGGGATACAGCATGCACTAAACTTAAGGAACTAATGACCTAAATAGTTGACGCGCCTGGAAACAATTTTATCAATGTTTAAACCTAAATCAGTGGGAACATTAATGAAGGAAGCGATGTTTATGTTTCATTCCGCGAAATATTTTTAATTTCACTGCGGGCGATTGATAGAGAGAAAATGAAAAAACTTCAGTATTAATCGGAATAAAATTGTAAACAATTAAGAACGATTGACCTGTTAAATCTTCTCCACTTTCATTCTGAATGCAACATTTATACACGTACATTCGAATGTTTTTGAACAGGCAATGTTAATAATTTTGCTGTCAGATCTAATCGCATGTATAATTCAGGTCAACGACTCTCGAAAATAGTCCCTTTATTCGCATTAGATTTGCTTGGTAAATGGCCGTGGTAAATGAATAAAGACCCACCATCTGACAGCATCCATTACAAAACGGACGGAGAACATAATCATCCGATGACTTCTAGCTCGCCTCTTGTGGATGAGTTTAGGAAGGGGCTGAGACGCATTATATGCTGTCTGCACTTACCTTGTGAGAAAACGTTCTCCGGTTCTAACGGTCGTCTGCAATTGGGGCACTCCTGGGTCGGTCGCCAAGAGAAGTTAACTGGTTTGAGTTTGTGCTGTTCAGCCAGGGACAAGGTGTTAAGTAAAAGTCTCTTGGGAACTAAGGGGCTATTTTTGACTTACACGATACAGGAGCGGATTTACTGTCATCAGTGTCATCGTTATTATGAAATTTCCCCGGTCGTTATTTATTCTGTGCCGCCTCTAAAAATACACCGAGCCCTTCTCGCCCCTCCCTCAGCTGCGCCACCGATTCGTCCTGCCATCTCCTCGCGCACCTGCCCGCGCTGCTCTTGGATTGCTTCCCTGACGGAGACACAGATGAAAAGAGGCCGTTGAGCTGATTTTAACTCGTGGACTTCCGTCAACGGCCATTGCTCTTTCAGTTCGTTGTGCTTATTCAGGCCACTTTCCTAATTATTCACGACTCTACTCTCTTACTCCTCTGAGAAAGTTATTTAGGATATTGTTGCACTATTTTGTATGAGATCGTCTGCCCTGAGGAATCCTTGCATTTAAATCGAAACCCACACGTTTCCTACGCTGAGGTGTTCCTTGGCAAGTTCTTTCTGAAATAGATCCGTTTATTTCTCCCAGAGCGCTGGGTGTCAATTTACATTTCGATTTCACCTCTTGATAGGACAGGCCTTGTTTCTTCTATGTCTGCTGCTATTTTACCAGCCAAATCGAACTCTATGTCGTTGATTTTCACTAAAAGGAGGATATAATTTTGTCCGATCGGTACTACATGGATCTAACGCCATATATTCACGGCGTTCACGTCGTATAATCGCACCGTACATGCATTTCGACCCTGACTCGAGTTTAATCCCACGACTTGGGGTTCAAACCCGTCCTGACAGCCCCGCTATTTTATAGATCGGAATTTTCCGTAGGACTCATAGAAAGGTTTTGGATATGTGCAATGATCGTCGATGAAATTGAAAAAAACAAACAAAAATTCTAATTTTCAGATTACCCTTAATTATTAGTAAAAAATAAAGTAAACTGTTATAGTTTTTTTGAGTAAGTTTGGTGCAATCGGTTTCCTGTCGAAAATTTTCGTTCTTAAGAAAACTACATTCCTTTACTACTGTCAGATACTTCAAATAAGTTTCATTGTACATAGACATATATTACGCCTATGCTACGTTGAGAAATCGAAGGGAAGGGTGACATCGGCTCTGACACGTTGGGGACAAACCCTCCACTCGAAACAGGAAAATCGTTCCTCCGCTGCGCGGTGCTAATCTCCTCTGAACCACGATGTAGCGCAGCTACAGCGCATGTGCCCGCGCAGCGCAGAGAATCGAATTGCGCGCAGGAAGTGTACGGAAGGTTTTTTAAAAAAATAAAAATATCGAACGGTAAACCAACTACACCAAACTAACTCGAAATAACAATGACACCTCTACTTTTTTATTTATTTATTTATTTATTTATTATTTTATTTATTTTATTTATTTATTTATTTATTTATTTATTTATTTATTTATTTATTTATTTATTTATTTATTTATTTAATTTATTTCATTTATTTATTTATTTATTATTTATTTATTTATTTATTTATTTATTTATTTATTTATTTATTTATTTATTTATTTATTTATTATTTTCGTTTCCATCGGAATAATTAAGGGACGTCGTATATTCTTGAAACGATATGTTGACATTTTAAGTTGCGAACTGTTGATTTTACGTCGCAATTGTTACCTGATAGATAATACTCAGGACGTTAATAGTCCGTATTTTACTTTCGCATTCCTTTGTCGCTTCTGCCGGGCCTGTGGGGCGGGCGCGAGCGAGCGGTGTCGCTTGTGGGGCAGCGTGTTCCTGCCCCTCGCAACGTCACTCCGTTGGCCCCCCGCCGGCACGCCGACCGCCATGCGCCAACTGGCCGTTGCACCACCGCCCCGGCGATCGCCAAATGATGCAATATAATGTCCACATGCGTAAAGGCGATGAACGGAGAGAATGCATTCATCCTTAGTTTGTGGTAGCGTTTACGATTTATTTAGAATGTTCTGCCTGAAATTTTTTTGTCATTTTTAGTTGACAAAAGAACACATGTACTTACTATTTAATCTTCGAGTACGCTATGTTGCTATGTAACCTTCTGTACTATATACTCTTCTTATCTGAATATGTATGCATTCTGGAAATGTTCTATATTGTCGGCATTTAATTCTCCAGACTCAGCAGCATATTAAAACCGCACAAACTAATTAAATATTTAAATATGGAAAGTTTTTGTTTTATTGAAGATATTACACAAACTTTTTTTAAGGCCCTTTAGCTGTCTCGATCCCTTGGGCACTAGCTTTTAAAGTTCAATCTTCATTGTTTTCATTATAAACAGGGACAGATTATCCAATTATAGAGAATTAACCTTTTATTGACACAGTAGAAAATAATGTAACTGCTAATAACTCTTTCATGAACATGCAAATCAGATTCTTGGCTCATTTGCAAATATCCCTGAAGGCTTGCATTTAATAATATTTTCACATTATGAATTCTCCTTATGAAAAGTGTGAGAAACTAAAAGCAAAAATTGTCATTTTTTTTTATCTGAAGTTATGAATGATTTATCTATTTGTACTATACATTAATGGTCTGTTTCTTATTAATTTCAGATCTGTCAGAGTGCCAGTTGATCCAAGTGCCAGATGCCGTGTACCACCTCATGCGTAACACTGCTCTTCGTGGTTGCAATTTGTCCAGTAATGTTATTACCAAGATCCCACCCAAATTTGCAGTGAAATTTTCACTTATTACTGGTGAGTAATTTTGGCATTGTAACTGAAATATTTTGTTTCTCATTTCATTCATATGAATGGAAAATAAACACAGTAGTTCTGTTCTGAGAAAATTCTAAGAATGAAAATGATCTTATTACTTAAAACGCTATTATCACCATTTTCATGTTTTCATTGACTAAATCAAAATTCTTACGAAATTGGTTTGTATAAGGCATTCAAAAAAGGTTTGCTTTTAGGAGGGTAGAAGTTTACAACAGTGACAAAACCAAACAAGGAAAGGAGAAAATGGATGAAGAATTATCATTCTCACATTTATTAAATAATTATTATTATTTTTATTTTAACTTCAATATCAGTATAACTTCAAATTATATTAACTAGAAATAAATGTTAAAATGAACTGTATCTTTTGAATAAATTCTTACAAAAAGATTAATATATTGTATCTTGAGATTAAATTTGGAAAATTATTTTATAATCTTTATAAAATTCCACACACACTTTTTATTGAATTTCCTTTTGTTTCACTCACTTCAATTGGTGAGTGTGGGGAAGGTTCAAAATAGATGTTCATCTTGGACAGGAGGGAGGATGTTAAAAACTGTCACAAAGGGGGTTTAAAAAAGCCACATTCCCCGAGCATATTTTTTAAATTATCTCTATTACTTGCCATCAGGGCCGGATTTAAGTAGTGTGGGGCCCCAAGCATAAAATTGTGTTGCCCCCCCCCCCACACACACACACACACTGAAAAAATAGTTCCATCTTTATTAAATAAAAAATGTATTATAGTACAATTACAATGAGGTTTGCATAAAAAATATACATATTCACTTATAAGTAAAGGAAATAAAGTATAGTTAATATTAGACTATTAACGTGTAATAAATATTTTTTTTAAATGTTTTGAAATTGTACATTTTGTTGCACAGTAGACTACTTGATTAACAATTATTTCACAGACAAAAAAATATGGTATGCGTATTTTTCCGAAACGCGGGGCTCTGGTGAATGGGGGGCCCAAGCTACTGCTTGTTTTGCTTGTAGGTAAATCCGGCCCTGCGTGCCATGTAAGTATTACAGTTTCTTTGAAATGGTTTCTTTCTTTTTTTTTTTTTTCAGACTTGAACCTGTCACACAACCAGATGAGCAAGTTGCCTGATGAGCTGGTTGATTTGGCAGAACGGAACGACTGGATATCTCACACAATGCCTTACATTTCCCTTCCCAATGTTGTATTTAAAATCCCCAAGCTAACACACCTCAATGCCAGGCACAACCACATTGTTGGTAAGTATGCAGAAAAAATTGTTTTTTCTTATTCATATATGAGTCTACGAAGATTTATTATTTCCTCTATTTGCGTGCAAAGTATCTAAAATAGAATGCAATCCAATTGGAATTTTCAATTTCTCATACTTCATTCAGACAATTTTTTTGAATGTATGAAGCACTTGCGTGCTCAGATTTACTAGTATCTATATTTAAGAAGTTCTAATGTCCATAAAATCATTTAATTCATGTTTAGAGGGTTGTTTGATTTGCTACATTACATAAAGTCACTCTTAACAATTGGCAGTAAAATTACAAAATTTTGCATTCAGAATCTTTAGCCCTAAATTAAATTGAATCTTGGTTATCTATGTATGTTGATAGATGACGATAGATCCCAATGAATTTTTTTTCTAAAATTATTTTTCCAACATCTCTTCAACTATCAAAGAGAAATGACAGCTTTCAAGCTCTATAGAAAGAGGAAAGGACAAATTGAATGAGGTGAAAACTGTTCTGATAATTTGATAATTTTGTACTAAATAACACTAAAAATTGAGGACAAAGTTTTGCTGTCTGTTAAATAAATTAAGTAGTAAGCAAACCAAGTCTATAAGGAGGAGGAAGGCAGAGAAATGTTCTGTAACATGTTGTAATTGTGAAAATTAAGAAATGTGAAGGTAAATAGTGTTTGATAAAGAAATGTATTAATTTTAACTTTTCTTCAATTAACTTTTATACAATGAACTTTTAGAAAAGGTTGACAGACAACGAAACAAAACAAAATTATACAAACATATTGTCAAATTTACAGTGTGAATATGAAAAAAAATGTTAAGTTTTTGATAAAGGAAACTTAACATTTTCATTATCGCTTTTACACTTCATTTTTTCCTTAAAAACACCTCTGAACCAATGATGTTATTATGTTTTGCAGATGTGGAAGTGGAACGGCTGCGGGTAGCACCTTCACTTCAGGAAGTAGACCTGCAGGAAAACCCCCTCAGCCCACGCTGCCACAATGAACTTTCGGCAGTGACATCTGTGCAAGTTCGGCTGTCAGTGCGAGAGCGTGAGGACTGGGAGGATCTTACTGTTTAGTGATCATGTCATGATGACATGCTAACTGTTGTAGCCATTGGGCTAGGTTCAGAAATTGCTGCAGAGTGGTACATCTGATGTGCTAGCTGCCTGGACGATATCTGAGCCATTTTCTTTTGTAACTTTGTCAGCTCTTTATGCTGACACACCTTGTGAAGGTGATTAGTTCAGTGTTGTGACTGAGCGTGGTGTTTTGTATGTGAAAAGTATTCTATATGTTTTTTAAATACTTCAAATTTTTTACATCATTTGAAATGCTCAGGTGTGAGAAAAGTGATTTTTATTAAACATACGTGTCTGGTCATTTTGTTATTTTAAAATAGCAAAAATCAGTCTTTACCAGGTAAGCTAACCACCATTGCAAATAAATGTCTGGGGTTCTGGAATACACACAATAAAATTTATATTTTGATGTAATCATATCATTCTTATTCATTTTTCTCAGAAGATTTAACAGGAATATTTATTTGAAATTTTCTATATTTTTTAAATTGAGGCTGTGATTACAAATAGATGTCATTAAATGACATATAAATGTCCTTAATTTGAGAAAGTACAATAAACAATCTGACAGAATGGCTTTTCTTTTGAGAAACCTATAAGTCAAGCATTCCAAATTAATCAGATACAACTGTTGCAATGGGAAATTGGTTAGCCACAATCTGGTTGTAAATAATCTCTTAGTCTGTAAAGGAAGCACTTGCATGTAAGCACTTGATGTTTGGAGAGCACCTTTCTATGTGTACTTAGCTGGGGTTGAGCAGGTAAGGAAAGTTATCAGGAAAAAAGCAAATATGTCTCAGGAATTGTGCCTCTTGTGATATGCCAAGTGTCTTTGAGGGCATATTGCCTTGCTAATGGTAGAAGCCATTAACACTCACAGTAAACTATCAGTATTTAGTTTTGATAACAGAATGGGAGTTACTTTCAAGGATTTAATTCTGAACACTTGTGTTCCAGGTGTTTTAAGATAGATATTCAAAGAATGCTGCAATGTTTTGGGTGCTACTTTACATAAAACTTGTAAATAATTAAATGTTACCACTTGCATATGCAAGCTGTGACAAGCAGAACTCAAGTTCCTAGACAGAACAATGAATATTTTTAAATATTATAAAGATATTACACATTTTCTGTGATGAACGTTACCGTAAGTCATGGCAAACTTATGACACTAAGTTGAATACTTATTAATACTATGTGCAATATTTAGTGCATTATTTGAGTTGTAAAAATATAAGTATGCATTTTAATGAATATTAATATATTTATAAATTTTTGTAAATAATGACTCCCTGATTTTACATTGCATTTTCAATGTTGTTGAAGTTTTCATTGAGAAATCAAAACTTAATGTTGAAATATCTGAGTGTTTGAGAAAAGACAAATGCAATAAGCTTTCATGTATTTGGCTCAACACATTTTGAACATATCCACATTCATTGTCTCTAGTTGTTGGTAAAATAGAAAAAGAGCAAAAATTTTTCAGCTACCCTGATAAACAAACTTTAATACATTTCAGGAAATAAATGGAAAACTGTTCCACTATACACGTACATGATTCCTAAAATACATGAAACATGTGAAAAACAAAAAATGATATAGCTATAGTATCCATGTCATCAGTAAGAATAATGAGACATGCAGGTGAAAGAATAATGCATTCATATCAAAGAATTGTTTCTTTTTGGAATATTATTGTAATTGACTCTAATATATATGATTACATAGGTGCTAAATTTTACCTGTCAACCCATTATTATTTTATATTAAATAACTGATGAGGCTTTTCAAATACTGAATTTCACGTATTTTGCCAAAGCTAGCTGTTTTATTTTTTTATAATATATTATGGATTCAACTGATATGTGTGACTGTATTCACTGACATAATTTAAAATGGTGTTGAATAAATATAACATATAAAAATTCCAGTAATGTGCATTTATACTTTCTATTTCCCTTAATGTTGGATATCCTAGAACGATGAGGGAAAAGAATCAGAAGAGCCTGTGTGAAAGTTATTTTCATTTTGAAGTTGGGGATGGGGTAAATTAAAATTAAAGTTCTTAATGGATGTTGCTATTTATTAATCGCATTAAATACAAATTGCAATTTATAATAGCAATTATTGTGTGTAGTTTGTCACCCCTTTTCAAGTGTTGTTGGACAAATGACCTTCTATTAGTTAAGGTGGTCTCCACAATTATTTGTGAAAGTTGAAATTCAAAAATATTGGCATTCTCAATTTTAGATAATTTCATTTCTGGCAATAACAGAATCGGCAAAATGGGCATTCTAGCTATCTGCTACTTAGGAACAGAGTGCGGCATTCACTTGTTCATTAATTACCCCAACTACTTCCAAAATACGTACGATCCACCCGTGGATTTCACTCGCTGTCTCGCGACATTAGTTAGTGTCCACGTTATTTTTCTGGTTTTACGTTTCGGTTTGTAACTGAATTTTGAAGATACCGAGGTTAAATTTAAAGCTTATCGGCATTTGTGTCATCGGAAACAATACTGATGTCTGGGTGGTGAAACTAAATCTTATTCCGACGGAAATGCAGTGCCCTTTTTCTGCGTCGAGACTGACTACTTGAACTATAAATTCTTGCTTTGGGACATTTTCATGGCAGAAAATCAACATGGAAAATCATGGAGGAAGACGTATATCATAGCGGACTATTGTTTTTTATTGAGGTCCTTGCTATGCGCAAAATTTGTGTACTGTTTTCATCAAAATACGTTCACGTGACAATAAAACACTTTTGCCCTTCATACAGCCTGCAAATGGGGCCGACACAAACATTGTTGAGTTGTGCTACTTCTGTATGAGTAAATCTGCCTTATTTTGTTTACTTCATGCATTTCCATCCCCAGGAACTTTGTTGCTCTCTCGTTTCTTGTTAGGTAGGTAACTCAGTGGAGGGGTGACCCAGAACAAGAGAACATCACGCACCGCTCATAACCAGAAGAAAGCTAGATTCTCCATAGAACAGTAATGTAATAATGTAATATTCCTTTTGTCAAAATAACCAAACTCCTAACTTCACTCTCATCTGGCGAAGCGAGGGCTCAAGAAAACGTGCGCGGATAATAAGTTTTATATAATTGGAAAACAGATTGGCATTAGAAAATAAAAATTTTGAAGTGGAATCTGATGGATACTTTAACAGAATTAATGGATTTTCAAAATAAAGATATTCATTTTTTATTTTTAAATTTGACTTCTGAAACAAAAATTAGAGTACACAATGTATCTAAGTATCTAAATCAACGACACTTTATGGAAGCATGAGTGCTGAAGATAAGATACAAATAAAGGCTAGAAGCTGGACAAATGAGAATTTTGACATCAATTTTAACATAATGTTAACAATACCGTTAGAAGAGACAGAGTTAGATACTGAGACATAAGGAAGAGACTCAAAACAAACAACATATATAAGGAAGTAGAATATTAGAAAAATGAAAAGAAAAATGGCAGAAACACACAAAGAAAATTACCTAAACAACACTCTCCTACAAACAGATAGGTTGGAGAGAACCTGGAAGGCCAAAACTAAGATCGCAAGACCAGGAACAACATAGTACTTAGTAACTAACGGATTACTGGATTTGAGAGGAACATGTCATGCTGGCCCCTGATGATAATATTAACGATGCATTTTTTTAAACATATCATTTAACACAAAAGGACAAAAATTGACAAAACTGATCATTAATGTTTTCAAACTATTTTATTCTTTTGTTTTGGTAGAAAAACTTGCCTTTTGCTTTTCACTTCTACTGAAACTTAAAAATTCTTGTTTTATAAAACAATTTTTAAGATTCATTTTAAAATTTTTCTCAAAAATTCCAAGTAACTCCATTAATAATAAAATGTGAGCAATTCTCTTTATTTTTACTTTCTCATGTGCTACTTTCATAATAAAAAGAAAGAATTAAAATTCTGCAGCAAAAAACAGCTATCTTTTGACAGAAAAACTCAAGTTTATGGAGCCCTGATATCTTTAGATTTCTCTGTTCAGATTTATTTTAGTCATATACATACTGAAACCAAATCCAAATTAATTAAAAGCCATAATTTATATTGAAAATTTTATTAAAATGTTATGTTGATTATGAACCTTTTTACATCTCTCAATGTTTCGAGGAGCTCTTTTTCTCTTCTTCAGGAGTCTGATTTGAATACAAAAAAATTATTATAAATCTGATTAAATCTTTTGACTTTCAAGATTATAGTAAAACAAAAACCATATTTCAAGATATGTATTTAAAGAACAGATTTCATTAAAGAAAAACATCACTATATTCAATATTATAGTTGTAGGAAGACACCAAAAACAAATTAACTTTTGCAACTTCCAAAAAATCAGAGATTTCAATGAAAATAAGACGTGCACCATCCTCTTAAGCATTCTTTACACTATTCACGGACGAAGTTTAATCAAAAACTTTGGAGTCATTTTAGAGTAAGTTTTTAATATATTGAGACTTCATGTGATGTACCCTCAAAAATCAAAATTTCCGTGTCAAACTCTGAAGACCTTGAGTTCATTTAAATTGATTCAGGAATATCAATTTTGAAAAAAATCAGCTGAAGGGTTTAGCTGCTAGTGCTCACCACAGATATTCAAACAGATACATGTTTGCAATCAATCAATTTTTCTGTGAGAAGGACCCACAAAACATGGATTCTACTACCCAATGTGTTATAGGTAGTAACGTACTTAATATAGGAACAAAATTTATCCCTGAAAGAAATACATACTTTTACTAATTATATGTAGTATTTATGGATTTATTACTAATAATTTTATTACATATTATTATAAATTTCTTTTCATTTGTAGATTATAACATTTTTTTTAACAATATTGAAAACAATTAAAGAATTAAATACATGAATAAAGCGTGTGATAACTAAGTCAAATTTTTCTCGGTAGTAATCATTTCAATGAATTCTCTGATTGCAATGCACAAAACTTCTGCTGCTTGCCTTATTATTTCTTTATCATGAAAAGCAATACCAACTCTAAGGTAGTTATTGTATTTGTTTTCAAGTGAAAATCGGGAACCAACTACCATTGTAATTTTGTGTTTCTTGGTTGACCAGTCAGTGAATTGTTTAGCATTAATAAATTCTGGAAGTTTTATCCACACAAAATATCCTCCCATTGGCCTCAAAAACACACAATCTTTAGGAAGACGTGTTTTCAGTATATCACACAAAATATTCATGCGATTCTGAAACAAATCAATAATTAATTTCAAAAATTTAATATACAATTAATTTGAATGAATTAATAAATAATTAATTTCAATAATTTGAATTACAGTTAGACATCATACATTAAACCTCTATATATCGAAATTCTCTAAAAATTGAATTATTTTTCAGTCCCTTGAAACTTCCATTTAAAAACGTTTCTATACATAGAAAATTTTTATATATATCAAACTAACTTTCTGACTTGACTATTTTTTCTATGAAAGGAAAATATATTGCATATACTACAAATTATGTTTCTAAAAATAGTATTGCTTAATTTGAAACAAGAATATTACTACTGCTCAAAATATACCTTCCTTCTGGACGTTTGTATAATTGAATTAATGTTAATTAAACACCAATGCATTTTTTCCATAATGTTCCCAGCTTTCTCAAGAAGGTAACTCGCTCGTCCTTTTCCTCCTCAAGAGAACTTGTCAATCATGGAAATGCAAACACTAAAGCAGTCTGAAGGTCAATCGTGTGTCCCATTGTCTAATGGCCCTGCCCAAGATGTTAATTCAGTGCAGGTACAGTTTGGTACTATACACTTCAGTTTACTATTATGCACTGAAGAGTGTTCGAAATGTCAAAACGAAAATTACTTAATATTGCAGAAAAAAATAGTGGGCCAGAAATATAGAATACCAGCTAGTACAGTTTTCACTTTAATGAAAAACCGCAAAAAAATTTCTAAATCTTGAAATGTAGGAAAAGATTGGAAAATTTCTATACAACAAAGTTTCTATACATCCAGTATCATCAAAGAAACCATTAGTTTTGATATAAGGTCTGACTGTAACTGATAATATTTTCTATCATCTAGACCTCAAAAATTCAATTTCTTCAATATAATTACCTTAAATTTTTCACGTGCATATGTCAAATGTTTCTCCTGCAGTCCTAGTTCCAAAAGACTAGTAATTACTCCTGAGACATAATGATTAGTTGCACCACCACTCAGTAAAATACCTCTGGAAGAAAAGATAAATGATGAATTGGTATCCAATCTTAAAATCCAATGCAGTGATTTGGTGGTTTCTTGACATTTACTTAATACCATTAGAAACTAAATTAATTTTTTTAGGGAAACAAAGACATTGTCTTGTAAAAACGTAATCATTGAAAATAATTTGTTTTATGCACATTATTTCTTTTTAATGCTTTTATAACTAGTTTTCAAAGATCTTTCTTTAGGATAATTGTTCCTCAATACTTTTTTTCTACCATGTTACATTTTGGGATGTTCCACAAGTTGAAATATTAATGAGTAATCAATAACGACTCATGAGTAATCAAGAGTATTTGAATAATAAGTATGACATTCTATCAAAAAATTGAATGGTGTAGAAATTCAATTGATTTACTACAAATTAAGTTAAAGGAATGCAATGAAGTTTGCAAAGGGAACAAAATGTTAAAAGAAACAAAAATGAAAAAAATAGTACTCCACTTTTATCCATTTCTTTGGGAAGACAGTGTAGAATAGCATCATCAGTCTACGAATACTACTGCCTTAAGAATAATACATTTAGTTTTCTACGCCATATCTTTTCCAAAAATCGTTAGCCACATTTGTGTATTGTTTTCTGTAATTTTTTGAAGTTTTCCTCATATAACACTTAATAGTATACTATGACATTACTATTTACACATTAATTCCTAAAATTGTTTCATTGAGATATGTTTTTCAATAATGAGCAATTAGTACCTTTGATGCTAATTAAAATTCCAACCTTCAATTGTTATTTTTTTACCCACAATTTTCTTCACTTCCTGAGTTTGTCAATCCATATACTTACGAATGACGAATTTCATTGGCAAGGAAATGTGACGGTGACCGAAGACCTATCCCAAAGTTGAAAGCCAAATCATTGAAGGACTTTTGCCTTATCAACAATGCTTCCATTTCTTACGAAAATTGAAATGTATCTTAACAAACAGCTTTTTAGCATTCTTAACTCCCATGGAGCTATACCTAGTAAAACCAGTCAGTTTTTGTAGGCGTTATATTGCTTCAACTACGCCTGTACCTTTCTGAATGAGCTTGTTGTTGACTAATGTCATAAAGACAAATTTCTCATAATTTTTAGAGTATTCCAAGACTTGTGATTACGATGAATAATGTATTTTTGCTATTTAAATTGAAAGCATATGGTTGTTCTGACACCACTATCAAATTCTTGAACCAGTTACTTGTTGCATATAATACATATTGTTGCAGGACTTCGAAAGAATTTCTTGCAGCTCAATTCTACTTTCGCAACTTTATACTTACTAAAGACCGGATTTTCATGCCAGTAAGACTGCCTAAAATGTGCGAGAAAAAGCATCAAAACATGCAATAAAAAAGATCAAGACCAATGCAAAATGGTGTTTTGTAGCTTTAAAATTCAATTATCAATGTAGGATCAACTTATTTGTATATTTGAATAGATATTTGAGGGAAACGAAATATTATAATTATAGTGTATTAATAATTAAGTTTGTACATATGTTAAACAAACTATATTCGACATAAAATTAAATTCACACAACAAAATTAAATTGCATAAAACAAACAAGAAATACCAAAATTGAAAAAATGCAAATATGCCTTCAGAAATCAAAAATAGTTACAAAAAAAGTGCTTCTTAATTATTTTCATTACAATTTACAAGTATGCTATTATTTCAAATTATTTACTGAGAAATTATTATATCTTCCTATCAACAATTTAATATGTTCTTCATTTAATTATACTTGTCTGTGTCCCAAGCCTCACTCTGAACATACGACCACTGCTGAAAGTGGTTCAAAACTGTGTCTCATTTCTCCTAAACCTCTTGTTTGACAAATTTGATGAATTTTGAATACAAGTGCAGCTTCTTGCTAGGCTTTGTGCCCAGATATAAAGTCAAATGTGACTAGGTGCATGCTGTCTCATGTTTGGTAAGTTCATTGAAGAAGACAAAACAATAATATGATTTGATTGAAAGACAGACTTTCGAAAAATAGCTTTGCTGAGAGGCTGCAAACAAGGACCGTGGACCTATCCTGCTGGCAATAACTCAGAAGGTTAATTCAGGTTTATAGACCACCCGAATGCACTGGTGGGTATGTATAAAAATTTTTTTAATGAAACCTTCAAAAATGATAAAATTAAAGCAAGTTAAAATATAAAAAAATATATTTTTATGCAATAAAAGTATGAATCTGGTAAAGTGTGAATCAGTCCAGTAAAATTCCCCAAACGCTGCAATTTCAGGCAGCCATTACTAAATATGCTGGCAATATCGTGCAAGCAACACCCAAATTGTGCAATTTCTTGCAACAATAAACACATTACTAAAAATAAACGTATTTTTTCAGGATTCAAATTTCTGTTCAGGTTCAATTTCAAGTTTAGCCAAGAAAAGGTCAGTACACAGTAATCTTGGTTAGACTGTGTTAAACGTCTCTTCTTCAGTAGGGGAAGGGTCTTCCTCTACAGTATTCTTTAGATTTATTATTAAAAATGATTTTCACACTTTGCTGCAAGTTCTTGCTTTTTAATGTTTTCAAGGCAACATGTCAGGAAAGTTGTGAATATAGCCCGCAAGTTTAACATACTATTTTTTGTGAAGATGTGTACATCCATTACATTTCACATGAAGGCCCTCCTTCGAAACGATTATTTGCTTATGATTTTCGACACCTGATACAAAGGAGGACACTGTGATCTCAAAATGAAACATTTTCACAAAAAATTCTTTTCTCCTGGGTGAGGTGGATGGATGGAATTACCCCTCGGCTTGCCTGTACATATTCAGAAAAATGTGAGATCGAAAGTAATACTAAACTTTTTAAAACCCAATGCCAATGGCATTCAGAACTAATTATTGAAAGAGATAATTCTAATTCACAAAGGACTTTATCTCGGGGAATTAATTTATGAGTCGATCCAGATAGGCCGAGATCACTAACGCAGCTAGTGTCGTGACGATCTCGGTTCGCAGAGTTCGAATCCTGGCCTGGCATGCCCATGTATTTGTGATCGTCCTCTAGCCTTCATCGTCATCCTACACTTCAATTAAAGAAGGTTTAATAATCCTGCATGAGCGGAAAGCCTTGCCCTGTAATGGGATGGCAGTTTGCTTAATATAAAAAGATTAAGTATTTTTTCCCCCTTGCTTATTTTATTTGACATGTTAATTCTTCAAATAAAATATTTTATTCTCCAAGATAACTAATGAGATGATTAGAATTGCCTATTATATATGTTAAT